CTCATATAAGGGTTCCATTTGACAGAAAAATTATGTTCATCCACCTTAATAAATCTCCCCACAAATTTCCCAATTTTTATGGCATATTTCTCAAAAAATAATTTCACTGACACATCATGAACCTGCAGCCAAAATTCAGCCTTATTCACTGGCACCGCCATAGGCAAGTCTCCTTTCTTTAGTTTAGCAAGAACCATAAGATTCTGATCGAAAATCATGGTCCTTCCTCCAGAACTCGTAGCATATCACTTTCACTGTAGAATTTGAACATGTACCTTCGTGCACCTATTTGAGTAATAGTAACACCTCTAACTGGTTTTCACACATTGGCCATTGTATCACGAAAAAATGAGATAGATGCGTATCGATTTGTCAGAAGTTATTGTCTTTACCACAGACATACCCACCTCTTCAATCCCCTGAATTGTGGCCTCCACCTGTATAAATTTGTCCCATTCCTCCATCTCCATTCTGACATACGCATTTGCAAGCGTGACAATCTCTCCATATTCAATCATGTCTGCCATCGTCTTTCTTCCTACTCTTCGTCCCGATGTCCGTCAACGAAACCAAAAAGCTCCAAGAGCTTCCCCCTTCGCAAACTTCGAAGACACGTTGTCCTGCACTAACACACTGCAATCTTGATGAAGGTATGCTTGAGTGTCGCCTACTTCTCTCGTCGTTCTTCCCTCAGTTGCGTACAACAACGCTGAGCGATTGAAAGTCGTCGACCCCAAGCTATCACAGACTGAACCCTAACAACAGCTAATTTTTTTTAATCCATTACTACTCCTATTGATGTATTCTTTAGATGAATAACTGGATGATATATATTAATATTATTATATACTACTCCCTCCGTTCCCATTTTATCTTCCATTTCCCATGGGCGCACAATTTAAGAAAAGTAGGTATTGTGTGGTGGAGAGTTGTGCAGAGGAGGGAGAAATGTGTAAGAAATGTTGTGAACCACAAATTCTTTACCAAAAGGGGAAAGTGGAAGTTTAATTGGAACGGATGAAAAGGGAAAGTTGGAAGATATAATAGGAACGGAGGGAGTAACTCCGTCCCAATTACTTAGCCATCTTTGACTTTTCCATTCAAAGATGGTAAACTTTAACCAATTATTTAAACTAATATATTTATGCAAACTTTAATAATTTTATACTTTTATGATAGTATTTTTAACAAAGAACATTTTCATATCATTTTCATATCATTAATATTTTCTGTAGATAAACATATAATCGATCAAAATTAGACTTCATTGACTTGAAAAGTCAAGATTGTCCAAGTAAAGTTGGACGGAGGGAGTACTGCGTAATATATGGTTGTAGACTTTTTGGCAAATATGGTAAGAGACTTATGATTTTGAGCGTTAAATTACTTTTTATGTTGTATTTGTATTAATAATTAGGTGATAATTGTGAATAAAACTATTCCTAATAAACTTAGAGTTTCCATCCCTTTCATTAGACGTGTTTCATTTTGGATTCATGGCCGAAATCCAACCTCGATCCATTCCTTTTGGTGCACGCTGGACGCCCGTCTTCTGTTCATTTCGAACCTGCGTCATTTTCAATTGCGTAGATTTTTACTACAGTTCTCTCGTCTCCGTCACAATTCCACTAATCTTCTTCATGTAAATCTCTACGTAGGATTTTAAAGTTTTGGAGTGAGAAAGTGAAGACCGTTCAAATCTTTATCTTGATTATTTCTTTACATTGACTTTTTCTTAAGTTAATTTGAGCATGAATATGATGATTTCTCTCAGTTCATAACTACTCCCTTTCAAAAATACTACGTATATGGTACTCTTACATTTGCAACAAAAAGTGATTGCTAATTAATAATTTCAAAGATGTTTATGTTTGGACCGAAATTTTCTAGTCTTATGTGTTCTGGTATAGTCTAATCTATTTATGTTTGTTTTGTTTTAATCTGAACTAATTTGGTCTCATATGGTCTAACATATCTGTTCTAAATGTATTATACAATTGTCAAAGTTTGATATGTTGTGTTCATCTCATGTAGGCCGAGGCAAATGTATTACTCCCTCCGTTCCCATTTTATCTTTCGTTTCCCATGGGCTCACAATTTAAGAAAAGTAGGTATTGTGTGGTGGAGAGTTGTGCAGAATAGAGAGAAATGTGTAAGAAATGTTGTGAACCACAAATTCTTTACCGAAAGGGGAAAATGGAAATTTAATTGGAACGGATGAAAAAGGAAAGTTAGAAGATATAATAGGAATGGAGGAAGTATATGCAAAGGTGTTCATGGCAATAATTTATTTATTGGTATTTTAAAGAGAAAATGTGTAGCTTTGGCCAAACGGATGTAGGAGTGAAACTATGTGATGCTCTAAGATGTTTCATTCGTGATTCATTTGATAAATTTGATTGAATTTTGATTCGGATTTTATTTTTATATACTGTATCTTTGAGAAATGCTCAAAATATAGAGAAATTACAATATTATTACAAAAATCTTGTTTGTACACACTTTTATACTCACCTCCAATTTTACTTGTACATACAGACAATTCTTTAAGAACAATGCACCATTTTGTCTATGTTTGTATGTGTACACATAAAAAATAAGGGGTGGATATAAATGTGTGTACAAAAATGGTACAACAAGAAGGACCCATACTCCCTCCGTCCCACTGGATTTTGCCAACTTTCCTTTTTTGATTATTTCAAAAAACTTTACCAGTTTTCTATTAAATTAACTAATTTGTGATTCTACACATTTCTTTCTCCTCTGCACAAATCTGAATCACACAATTTTTATTATTCTTATTTCTCACCTACTTTGCACTGCACAAATTCCCCGTATTATTAAGCGGGTGTAATGTGGAAAAGGACAAGAAACTACCAACTCGAGAGGCGAGAGTTTACCAGAGGAAATGGTCAGTCGTCAGCGACGCACGGAGGGGAAGGGAATATCACGTAATTCAAATGCTTCCACTTCACGGCGTTCGAGAAGGCACGGCCCTTCCCGTTAACCATACTCTCACCTACTCCGTAATCCCAAACTCCTATGCCATTCCCACCCACACTTCCCCAGAAAGACTGGGTCATGAAATCAAGAAGAAAAGGGCATCCTTCTAACCCTCCCATTCAACAATCGGATATGCCAAACGTAATTGTCACTTCACCCATTCTTTCTTTTCTTTTGCTCGATACATTATTGAATTAGGAATTGGATTGATATCTTAACCGGTTTCAAAATTTAATTATACTACGTACGGAGTATTAAGTACTTCCTCTCCTGAATGCATTTGGATTTGATCTTACAACCGTAAAATATAAAAATGCTCCAACAACCTCAGTCTCACTCAAAATGGAATTAGTTGTGCACTCGTTTATCTCACGCATACAGAATTGTCTGCACACAGACAATTCAGTAAGATTCTCCAAAGTTGTCTGTGTAAAGACAACTTTATGTACGCGAGACAGTTGTGCACTCCTATATGTGGTACAATTCATATACTTCGTATAATATGGAACCTTTTGTAAAATTACGGCACTAGACTATAAGAGATCTCCGATGCAAGATGTGGTCTCTTACACACACCTTTACGGATAGAGTCTCATTTTTTATCTAATAATTTTTTATTTTTAGGACCCGCATATTTTCTTATTTACTATAAATTTTCATTTTATATATCACTTTTACCTCACTTTTCATCACTTTTTCCTTCTCGAATTCTGTGTAAGATCTATTTATGGACCTTGTCATAGACATAAGTCTACTTTTTATCTCTATCTCTCACCTCTTTTTCATTTTTCCATACACATCACTTCATCTCTCTCCTCTTTTTCATTTCCGTCTTTCTTTAATTCTTGCAACATTGTGATTTTTGCACTATTTACAGATCTTACTTAGACCACGATTTTCTACTAATATACATAATCAAATAATTACGTATAAAATGTTATTAAATTCCTATCAATGTGAATTCCCAAAATATCAAATTTTTATAATGTTTACTAATACATAATTAAATATAATTACATTCAAAGTTGTGCGTTGTCAAACGTGAAAATCAAACTGTTGCAAGAATTAAAGAACGGATGATAGTATCTCTTAATGCCACATCACTACAATCCACCCTCCCTTTGGGGATGCTCTAACTATACCAAATCAAATAATGTTGGGGTTAATAAGAAATTAATAAACTCTCGGTCATGCTAACATTGTTTCATCTTTCTTTCTCGATTCTTTCCAGCAAAAGTTATCTCATACTTCATAGCAAAATTGATAAAGTTTATGTGATTTTTATTTATTCTTATTTTATTCGTACTTCATTTATTCAATATCAACCACATGAAACGCATTCTTTTTGATAAGCGCACAACTTCCTCGCACAACTTCCTCATGGCTTAATGTTAGTTAGGTGTGGCTAGTAGGATTTTGTAAAGGAATCAAATTAAACAAATAGAAATACAAATCTTACTATTCGACTCGATTCGCTTCGTTTACAACCCTAGGTGTGGGTAACATAGTTTTTCAATACATATTCGGCAATTCTTTTTTTATTCCCTTTATCGGTACAATTTATTAAACCCTAATAAAAGAAAAAAAGATAACAAATACTTCTTTAGAGGGTCTCATAATTGTATTTTTTGGGGAAAAATTTAATGAAGGGCGTATTGATTTTTTATATATTCATGAAAGACATTGATCATTTTAACGAACTGTAGTAGATCAATTATTTTGGTATGCACTATACAACACTAGATCAATTACTACGTACTTTATTATGGAAAGGGCGTAAATACAATTTTCTCTTTTCATATAGTATTTCGAGAATTCTTTATTGTCCTCGTGCCATGTTTTATATTTATTTATTTACTATTGATCCATCAATTATTGCTCTTTTTGTAGCCTCCTATTAGATTTCTTTCAATAAAAACAAAAGCACGTGGACGCGGAAGTAATAATTCATTGTTGAATTAATAGGGTATTGTATAATTGCATATAGTACTCCGCACTTTATTTATTTTTTATATTGTTATTTAAAAATGTTATTGTAGCAAACCCATTTCTCTATAATTTTGCCTCTTACAACTTTTACTAATACAAAGTTACAGGGCACCCTTGCAAACAAAAGAAAAAGAAAGGGCGGAAATGGAAGAAAAAAAGAAATTAAAATTCCGATTAGCGGACTAATTGAGCTTGTCAAGGCTCTACATTTTTTTAATTACGTTTTTATGTATTTACTTCATTAAAAAGAGTTTGGAAAATGTTAGGAATACTCGATGATTTTTTTAAACAAAATTAAAAGATCAAAACTTTTTTTTGGGTTTCAGGGTTTTTCTTTGAGAAGGGAAGCCAATCCGGTGACCATCACCCTGTTGCTTCTGTCGCAACTTTTCGGCTTTATATCCGGAGGCTGCCAGATCATCAACGCGGCCTGCTTAGGCGACTGAGATGCCTTCTCTCCCTTGCCTGAAAGTACATCCGGCGACGGCGGAATTGCCTGCGGGATCTCGTGGTTTTCATCTTCTAAAGACGCTGTCTTCTCTCCAAAAATCAGGTCTAGCTCTCCTCCCTCGTTCAAAGCTTCTGCTTCACCCACAGGCTTGGGCTCGGATTCAGCTTCCGCCTTCTCCTTCGGCGGCGGTGGCGGCGGAGGGTAGGTTCGGTTATAAGTGCTAAGCCACTTGGCTTTCATGTACTCGGCTTTGCGCCAGGGAGGGATATGCATACCTTTCTTCTTCAAGCTCTGTCTCGCAGCCTCCGACATGATCGACACGATTTGCAGAAGCCGGTCGCCTTTCCCGACGAAGATGAGCGGCAGCAACTGAAGAACGGCGTTATAGCTTCCGGTTGATCTTGCAATCTCGAATTCCGATCGGAAATCAACATCAATGAAGACTCTTGCTCCTTCCACAATCACATCAACGCACTCGTATTCTCCTACATCAAACGAACAATTATTTGGTTGAAAAAAACAAAATTGGAACAGTTAATTGACTGTAAACAAGTCGTCATCATCGTCATTAGAAGTAGGTACCAGCAGGAATCGATGAACTTCTTTCCCATTTTGATTTGAAGATGGAAGCATCGTAACCGAGAGATAAGAGGTCATCTGTGACGATTTTCCGGAGATCGTCTTTGCGTTTACAGGATTTGTTCTTGTCGATGATTTTGGCGGTGTCGGCTAACAGATTTCTCTCCGCAACACTCTCACAGGAAATCAAGTTCTGGATTATTCCAAAAAGGAAACATCAATCAGACAGAATTAGTCGCAATTTAAAATTGAATATATATTCATTATAATTGAAACAAAAAAAAAAGATATAGGAACCTTGATTGTATCAGATGAGTCGCCGAAAGATGAAGAATTGGCCAGATAATCAGCGAATCCAGAGCTAGGGAGATCGAACTCGTCATCGGAGCTGTCGCTACCGTTGCGGTTGAAGCAATTGCAGCGGTTACGGCCGATTTTAGACGGCTGCTGCTTTTCATTGCTTTCCTCTATAAAACTCTGAACCATCTTATCCAAGGAAACCGAGCTCGGTTCAAATTCAACAGCTGCTGAAGAAACTCCATCTTTGCCGCACGGTACTGCAACTCCAGCTCCGGCCGGTACGGCAGGCTTCTCCGACGCGGACGAGCTTCGCAGAGAGCTGGTGAAAGGTCGATCGAAGAACCTCTTGAGTCGAGATTTCGACAATGGCCTAGTAGAATCAGCACGGATCGATGATGTAATAGAATCAATTGGTTGAACCTTCATCACAGGCATGTCTACCAAAACTGTACTTTCCCTTTTACTAGTATTAATCTTAATTCTTAACCTACACACACACACGAACTCTCGCACAGCTCCGAAAGAAATTTGACACAGCTGTGAATTTACGGTTATACTAAACGACACAATTTACAGAGAAATCGGTCGAAGAAGCTCAAAATCAGGGAATTAGACTTTGAGTAACACTGATCAGCTTCCAAGGTCACAGTAATCGATCGAAATTAAGTAAGAACGCCATAATAACACTAATAGAAATTTGATTTTGATTTTAACCTTCGATAGTTCTCCTCGATCTCAATCGCTGTTTGTGTGGTTGTTGAAGTGGAAGATTACAGAAAGAAAAACAATTTTTGTTACCAATTGCCAGGCACAAGGTGACGGTGGTAAACTGGAGCACGGACATTGCATATGTGAAATTGAAGAACAGAACGCCACCGGGAAAATCTGCTTTCCGGCAACTAGGTTGTCGTCGCCGGCCAGATGAGAGTGCTGAATTTCTAATTACCTAAGAATTTAGGGGTGATTTTGTGTGAAGCTGAAGTTAAAATGATGGAGTGGTATAAGGCGCTTTATTATATAGAGTGGAGTGAAGTGAGCGGAGGTAGAAGACGAGGGGCAGCTGACGTGGACTGAAGGCCACGTGGCGGGCAACGGGCAGGCATTAAGCTAATCAAGCACCTGACCGTGGTTACGTGAAGATAATCATGCCTAAAACGACAATTTATTTAGAAAGAAAAAAATAAAACCATGATTAATCGGCGTGCGGAAGGTAATCGATTTGGTTGGGTGATAAAATTACCGTTCTAGCCTTGTGGTCCCGTGAACTGGACATGACGGGGAACGGTTACAAATGAGGAGAGATCGTGGAACAGTGGGAGTGACCAAAACGGGAAACGGAAAAAAAGAGATTAGGCGAGACTTTTTGGCCTTTGTGCGTTACTGGGGTTGGGGTTTGGGTTCACGGTGTGGTTCTTTTGTGGTCAGGCCTAACTACTTTTCCTTTATTTGATTTCTTTTCTTTTTTTTGTTACCTTTTTCCATTTTGACATGTAAATATAATAATAGGCCATATCTTTGTTTGCATTTTAAAGTAAAATAACAACGGATGTCTAAAGTAAAATTCTTTGTAAAGTGGTAAAGAATAAGAATAAGAATAAAAATTTTACTGCAATTGAAATTTAATTATAAAATATGGTTAAAGTTATTATTTGTATGATAACATGAACACTTAAGAGACCATTTCGTGACCTTGTTTTTCGGCTTATCAGTCAACTTTTTTACCAAACATATAAATGTTTATTTCGCTCGCTGAGTTGTGTAATAATAAGAAAAAATATGATTGAAGTTACTTTTCTGGTTGTATTAACTGAAGTTACTATAGATAATCATTTTAGCTATTATTCATATATATTTTTCTTTATTTTATTAATAAAATATATTTTGAATATAATTTTTATAAATCAATAGAATCTGCCAATCCAGCCATTTCACTCAGAACTTCATAAATTTCAGTAGAATCAACCAATTTCTCTCAGGCTCCAAGTGTAAAAAGTGAATAGAGAGTACAAGTTACTACTATATATAGTTACGAGTATTATACTTATGCCGTTACATTTTTGTAAACAATTTTTATTTATGTCATAAATATATGTGCACTTATTTTGTATTAGAGGTGAGCGTGTGATTTCTAAAAATGAATTGTGGAATGTTATGATTAACTATAGTTAGATGTAAATTTTAATGCATCCATTTAAAAGTTGCACGTATAATACTTAAATCTATAATAATAAAATAAGGTAAATGGATTATGTAGGGGTGAACAAAAAAACCGAAAAACCAAAACCGGTCGAAACCGAATCGATCAAAACCGAAACCGACTCGAACCGAAACCGACTCAAACCGACTAATCATTGACGGTTCGGTTTACGGTTTCACCTTTTGGGTTATAAAACCAACTGAACTGAAACCGACCGACAAAAAACATGCTAAAACGACCAAACCGATCGAAAATAATCGAACCGAAACCGAATCGAAACCGATTCAAGTACTGCGGTTTGGTTTTCGATTTCACCTTTTTTAAAACCGAAACAGACCAAACCGAACCGACCAAACCGAAAACTGACCAAACCGAACTGACGAACACCCCTAGGATTATCCATGGTTGTTGTATTTCTCATTTTCTTATTGACGACTTTACTTGATGCAATCATTCATACATACATGGGATTCACCTTACAACATTATGTTGCCATAATGTGTGAACTAATTTCAAAACCTACTTTAAGAGGGTTTGTTATAGATGATTTCATCATATGTGTTTTTGGCTTATCTAATACTCTACTTTAATTAACTAGGCATCATTATTCACTCATTTTGGCAATCTTCGATTAGCAGTTTTGACTAAGTCACATTGTTTGGAACGGTTTTACCAACTAAAGACCAAAACATATTATCGGTAAGAAAATTTTAGTCCGAAGTATGCATTCTATACATTATACCTTTAGGATACTATATTACTACACAGTTCATAAGTTCACGGGTAAAACAAGATGTTCAAATTTAATCATTTATATATATGCATCTTATGTGTCTTGTCCTAGGTTTTGTCACCTTTAGTGCGGAGTCATGTGAAGGAACACAAAAATGTAATCAAAGTAATAGTAGAAAAAATGAACATTACATCAATACATCACTTTGAATTGTTTGAGAGTTACTGGTAATAATATACATGTCCAAGTTACCAAATCGGTAAAAAGAAAGGGTGATTTACCAAATTGGTAAAAAAATACCTTCGACGACATATTGGTAAAAAAAGATCTGGAGACAAATACTTCATAGGTAATTAAAAAAACAACTTTAATGACAAATTGGTCAATTTTTTTTGTGAGCGAGATACTTTTAGTCTCTTATTTTACAATTCCCGACATTTAGTGTCTTAAGTATTTTGAAATAGACATTTTCACTCTTTCTACTTTGATTTTATCATGAAATGTGGATGATTAGAAATTTCAACGTTAGTTTTTGACAATCGGTAGATGGCTAGTAGTTGATAACCGGTTCAATACACAAACTGATACTAGCAGATTCCATTAATTTTTTTAACCAACCGTTTTCATTAGTTGTTTGAACTAAAATGTTAATAATTTAGCTGTTTACGTTAGATGTTAAGACGTAAAATGTCCATTAAGAATATGCATTTAAAAGTAGATATATTTAACTTAACTTTAATTGTTTTATTTTCAATAAATTTTTGAAAAACAAATTAAAAATCATACTACATATTTACTTTTATTTTAAATAACTACCACCACTATCATTTTAGGATATGTACATTAACACGCATACACACATATAAATTAATTTATTTTTAATATTAATATTTTTATAGTTTTAATATGACACTTTTATTTTATTTTTACTTTTGAAAAATCCCACTCTATATAAAATAGCAAAAAAAATCATAGTGGTTTCATAGCGACCAGGACTAGGACCGGGACCGGGACCGAGCGGGGTTGGGCCCGGTGCGGTCAACCCGACCCGATCTGGGATCACTACATGTCTAACGTGCCGATCTTGGGCCTCCCTTTTATTTGGCATGGATCGATCGGACCAGGTCCATGTCTAGCTATTAGCTAGCAGTCAATCGTTGATTTTCCAACATCTTCATTGACATTTTTAGTCTTTCACTTTTCATAATAAATTCAAATTAGAAGGAATGAAAATGCCAAATTCATAATACTTGGTCTAATAAATGTCAAGAATTCTGAAGTCGGAAACTAAAAGTGTCTCATTCACAATAAAATCGATCAATTTATCATCAAAGCTTTGGTTTTTTACATCGTCAAAGCCAGAGGTTTTTTATATCAATTTGATAAACCTCCCTTTATGAGTAAATTCCCTAAATAGGAGTAAAAAAAGTTTTCAAACTCCAAAATAGAACTATCATGTTTTTTATTCCCTAAATAGGAGTAAATTTCCGCCAAGTTTGGCATTACTAGGCTTTTAAACTTGGCATTTTTTCTAAACTTGGCAGATTACTCCTATTCAAGGAATAAAAAATATGATACTTATATTTTGGATTTTCAAAGCGTTTTTGCTCCTATTTAAAGCAATTTCTATTTTTTTACCAATTTGGTAATCTCATGTAATATACTCCATACATTATGAGACTATTATGTACGTAATGGGATTGTTAGACATCTGAAGATATATTCTCTCGAGCTCTATGTTCACATGAATAAACTGATTCAACGCGGACTATGTGCTAGGTCTTTCATAAAATAAACCCTCTAACTTTCATAAATAGTGCAAATAAGTCCTTTTACGGGAGACTTTGTCCGGATGTCGCCATTTGGACGGTTTCCAGTGGAATTTTTTGATAAAATTTTTTGAACATCTTCTTCATTAAGTCTAGTTTATCTATACCAAATTTCAGCTAAAAATTCAATCGAGAAGGCAGTCAAATGATTTTCTGAAATATACTACGTTGTCTAACTGCGCAGGTATCTTCAAAAATTCATTTCACTGCCTTCCCGATTAAGTTTTTAGCTGAAATTTGGTATGAGTAAACTAGACTTGATGAAGAAGTTGTTCAAAAAATTTCATCAATACAATCCACCGAAAACCGCTCCAAATGGCGACGGTTAGACAGAGCCTCCTATAAAAGGGCTTATTTGCACTTTTTATGAAAGTTCGAGGGCTTATTTGATAGTTCTCCTCTCCAAAATATGAAGAGGAAAAAGTACTACCTCGGTTCCCCTAGTATTGAGACGGAAGAGAGTAGTGTGATTTTTAAGAAAACTAGAATTATGTGGTCGATAATGAGTTGATAAAATGCAAATATAGTAATTAAGAATGAATTAGAGCACACGAGTCCTACAAAATATGGTTTGAGACAATAATAAGGGGACATCCCAAATCAAAAAAATGGGACAATTATAGGGGGCGGAGAGAATACTTTACTCCCTTCATCCCAATTTGTTTTGCACAGTCAACATTTCTTGGTTAACCAATAATAAAAGTCAATCCTCACTATTCATAATTAATCAATTTTTAATAAATAAAATTTAAATATTCATAAACTACATCAAAATCTTTTCAAAGTTGTAAACTCCAAATTAGAATATAATTAAAAATTGGCATATTAATTAAGTGAATAAAACGAAACTGTTTAACCTAGAAAAGTCAACTTTGCAAATCAATTTGGTACGGAGAGTATAAGTTTATAGCTGAAAATACTTCCATATTATTGGACCCAAAAAAGATTTTAAAATTCCATTTTGAAAACACAACCTTATGCTGGTGCTGAACTTTGTTTGCACACATGGACTATATTTCAATTACATTTAAATCATACTCAATCCTCACTTAGCCAAAACTTCTTTACTTAGTGATGATGCTATGTTTTAAAACCTGGATCGTGAAGCTATCTGTTCAAACGACTTGGTTACAGGTCAAGATTGAAAGATTGACCGGTGGGGTCAACCGGGTCAATTTCTAGAAAACTCATTCAACATTAATAAAGTTGTACCAATTC